AAAACTTGAGAAGATTAACTCATAATTCTGTAAATTCACTCAGATAAAAGACTGAATCCAGTAATTCCGTTCTAATAGCAACCTAGTAGCATGTCAGAATTACTTCCTACTTTTGGTTCCCATTTTGTTTAATGGGTCCGGCCTTGTTCTCAATTCAGCAAAAAAGCCCTCTTTTTTCCCAGGAAGGATGAAGAATATGCAGTTTGTAACATCTTGCAGCAGTGCCTCTCTTATAACAAGTAACATGAACAAAGAATGGGTCATGGTATCTTTTACCTTTCAGAATTTAATCCAGATTTGCAATGTTATTTGAACTTAATTTTCTGAGCGTGAATGTCAGAAACATTTTCAGAAAGAACCTAAAGAAGCCACGGATCAAAGTCTGTAACAGTAATACATAGCAGCTGGTACAAACCTACTAATCCTCCAATTCTAGATGGGGTTGAACCCACGTCTCTCACTGGCAAGTCTCCCATGGTTTCAGCTACAGCAGACATGCCTTATCTGTGAATAACAAAATTCAAATCAAATTCTTTTCCATCCGTAACTTAAGCTGTGCGACTACAATTACTTTATCTAAAAGTAATGACAGATTCCCTGAAATACACATTATGTATTATACATTATACACAACTGTAAATGCTCCTTTTTCAATTGTTTGGCTCAAGACAATCTAAACAAGCTAAACTCCATGTCACATTAATCTGTGCGATTCCTTACATTGTGGCCTCCTTTCTATCTAATAACTCCTACTTTTTACGTTTATGTTCTTTCCTATGTTTTTAGAATGAGATTTTTTAACTTCCTTGTTCCATTTTCCTCATTAATCTTTGGGCTAAGTCCACATGGAAGAGGGACCTGAGGGCATTTGTTCACTTGTTTTAAGACAGGTGAAGGCTTAAGGCTTAAACAGTAGACCACAATGCCACCTGCCATGCTTTGAATGGAACTCTTAAAAAAAAAAAAAAGTGCTGGGGGTTATGAAGTCATTTCAGCATTGCCCACTGTTCTCTTAGCCTTCTTTCAATCATTGTCATAGTAGAAATTACTTTCTAAGACAGAGACTCTCCTGTGAACAATTCTCATAAATCTGAACACATTCCTTTCTTCAGGCAACAGAAAACTTAGCTACATGACAAAGTGAGATTAGGGAAGTATTAATGTGAGAAAGCACTACATTAGTTTCAGAGTAATGTATGAAGATAGATGTTAACAACTGCTGCTTCTTCTTTTCCAGTACATACAACTAGATGATGGCCATCAAGGCAATTAAGGCAGAAACTGCATTAAAAAGGAAGAAAAAAACACACTGTCCTTTGGACAATCTTTTGTTGTTTTTTTTCCCCCCTCTGCTGTTACGTACCATTATAAATTGCCAATATAAATCCATATTAAATTTAAAAAGCACTAACAGGGAAATTAACAGCGATGCTAGGAAAGACCAGCATCAGAGGACCAAAGTGACATAGTACAATCCACAGACATTCCAGGGAGTGTCTGCTAATTCTGTCACAAACAAAACTGATGCTAGAGATACATTTTTCTTCAGCCAGTAAAGTCTTTAACACAAACAACTCTTCTCGTGACTTGTTCGGAAGGAAAGAAAAGGATTAACCTAAATGCAGTTTCCAACAAAACTAAAGCACAAGTTGCACTGACCAAAGTCATTAAAGACTTCAAATACTACCACTGCAAATAAATAATATTATCTAATATCATGTAAGCATTCCTGATAAGCTCCTACATTATTTCAGCCTGACAAGAAGCCAAATTATCCTGTTCTTCACAAACATTCAGCTCCTTACACCACAGTCAATATAACCTTTGATTAATTCAACTTTGCTTGCAATCTTCTGATTATTTTATTCATTAAAATTTCGGACAAAAGATTATTTCCAGCTTTCACTACTTACAACATACTGATAACATATTTCTAATGTTTGGAACAAACGTTCCCTTCTCACAGTGGTATAAAAGCCCAAAGTGATCTGTGATTGTAAATTAACAATTTTTCATTTGCAGTTTCGTTGCTGCTGCTCACAGAAATAACGCTTCATGATATTGAGGCCCACATCACGCTGACATTTTAACCAACAGAACAATTCTAATGACATAAACTGTCATGTAGCTCCCACCAAACTTTCTTGTTACGTGTCAACTCAGTGCAATATGCAGTCATTGACTTTTCTCAATCTAGGTTTCCTATTGAGGAAATTATTAGGTGTCACTGCCAACATTATCACAGAAACCTTCAACTCCTGATGATCAGTCCAAATTTGCCTCATGATGGTACCAAGGAGAGGATGCTGTCCTTACACCTCTCTCCATGATGTGATTGCCTTTGTCACAACAATTGTTTTTATTTTTTTCATTTTTAGTAGTTTCACAGAGGTCAAAAACTAAAACACTTCACAACCACCACTCCACAATGTTTGTGATCTATCAAATCAAGCATCAAAAACTTCAGCACAGTAACAGCCATGGGGAAAAATGCTGATTTTGCACTATTTGTCTCTTGCAAAAAAAACAACCAAACAAAAAATACCCAACTTTGCTACAGTAATACCACAGGTATACCTGTTACTTTCAGTATGAAAGAAATCCACTCATTGAAAACACAGAAACCAACTGAGCAAACAATAGGAACAACTAACCAACAACCAAACACACATGTTCTTTGCATAAATAGACAAAGCCTTGTCAGCAGTAATCCATCACCAGATGCAACAAAAACACAGAAACAGTCAAATTGCAAACAAAGATAGCAGGGCTGTAATACATGAAAGCCTGTTTAATTAGCAAGACAACATGACTAGCAAAGAAATGGCAAAATAGAGCAGTTATAAATCCAAATTCCTGAAAACTCAGGTAATATTCCCACAAAATGTTAGTTGTTTCATTATGAAGTGACAGAAATGAAACATTCAGCTTTGTTCTGTGTCCAAAGGCAAGTGAAAAATTTCAACCTTTTTAATAAAAGTGTACTTTAGATACACATAGTTTAAACCTGTAACCTGGTTTTAGGCAAAACAAAACTACAGACATGCAACTGACATGAAAATTCATTCTGTTAGTAACATAAAATAACTTATGTCTCTAATAATCACTAAAACTTATTGTTTATTTTCTTCTCTAGGGAACACATCCAAGAGCAAATCTGCCCTACAGTTACTTTGTTAATATTAACACAATCTCAGTCACAAACACTGAAACAAATTATCTTCCTTGCAGCCAGTGGTTCCAGCTTTATGTCTAAAAGCTTGTGAGATTTCTCCACAGAATTCCAAATTACTTCTTCAGAAAGCACTTCCTAAGTGATTAAACCTGATGGAAGCATACAGCAACACGACAAGCAGCTATATTAAAGAGCTCAGTGTTTCTTAAAGCATAATAAAACAAGAGAGATTACAGAAATACCATCTGCAACTGGATGGAGCCACGTGCCATACTCACCCTCAACAACTTAACATTGCTTATTTCCAAGAGAGATTTCCCTATTCAGCCCCTCTTGTTCCCTCCAAAAACCCACACAAAATTAACTTCACACATCAAGAGAGGAATTTGCTCATTGCACCTGGAATTAAACTATGAGAATCTAAAGTAAAGGCATAAGCAAGTAAAAATAAAGTAAAAGTAAAGGCATAAGCAAGTAAAAATAAAGTAAAAGTAAAGGCATAAGCAAGTAAAGTAAAGTAAAGGGCATAAGCAAGAATAAAAGAGAGATTAAAGTTACAGAAACACCAACTTACACACCACAGCAGCTACAGGCCATTACTATGTGATAAATTACTGCAAAAAAACGCATGCAAATTTGCAGTGGTATGGAAGAGCAGACAGCATTAAGCACGAGTGCTTGAAGTATCAGCTCACACTGTAGGCCCACACAACACACAAAGCATCCCGCTCCTCTACCATCATTCCAATGGGGCAAGAATGAGGGGGGAACGTGGAAATTTCCATAAGTTCTCAGCTAGGGGTGCAATAAGGAGCACTTTCTAGTGATACCTTAAAAACTAAGGTGTTAATTTAATTCTTTCAACACAATTTAGACCTTTGTATGCCTTGGCCACAGTTGGGATGATGCTGTCCTCACAAAACCACCACTGTGCCTCCGCTATGGGGAAAAAAGAGCAGCCCAGCCTATCACAGCGTGCTCCCAGCCCACCTGTATCCTCAGCACACTCCTAAAAGATAGATGTCTGTACTTTATTAGCCTTCTCAACTGAAACAGCCGCGCTTCCCACTTGTTCAGAGCACACACTTTCAGCTTTCGGGCACCGTGACAGAGGGCTGTTCTGAGGACAGTAGGTTGCTATGGCCGAAAGGGGCAGAACGCCCCGCCCCGCTGCAGGCTGAGGGAAGGGGAGCTCACAGCCCTGCCCGCCTACAGAAACACCAACAAGTACCAAAGCCCACGTCTCACCTTCCTCGCACCATACAGGCGCTCCTCGGGCTTTTCAGCCCTGCCTCCGATACATTCCGAGGGGCGGAGGGACGCGGTATTATTCCCTCAGAAAGGCATAGAGCGCTCTGGGCTTATTTTTACCCTCAGGCGCAGAAATGAACCCCTCTTCGAGTCCTACAGTGTTGGCTTTACTGGTTACACGTGTGCCAGACACCACAGCTGAGAAGAGCCTCCAGGCTACTTCAACAGCAAAGCGCAGCGTGATGCCCAGCGTCTCCTCGAGGGCGGCGGGCGCAGCCCCGCTCCTCAGCTCCTCAGCTTTCTGCGCAGAGCGGCACGGCGTCTCCTCAGCGCCGCTGTTCTCGCGCGGGAGCAGCCCGCTCCGTACTCACAGCTCCCGCCAGACCGCGCCGCGTCCTAGCGCTCCACTAGCAACTACGGCCGTTCCTAACCGGTCTTTTCCAGTTCCGGAGAGCGCGGCTGCGCGCTGCCTGATGGGAATTGTAGTTCTGGGCGGGGCCGAACAGAGCGGCGTCGTTCGGGTCGGCGGTAAAGCGGCACTTCCTGCGTCCGTGCCGCGGTGCGTGCTGGGAGTTGTAGTGTTCTGAAAGGCGGGAGGTGGCGGAGCGGCGCGGTGCGGGCTGTGCGCGTGACTGCTGCGCGTGGAGGCGGCAGCATGAAGAGAAGAGCGGGGGAGCGGGAGAAGGAACTGAAGGTACCTGCGCCTTGTTTCCTGCTCCCCTCCCACCCTTAGGAAGGCAGTCGGGGCGAGCCCCTGCCCCGGCGCTGCTGTAGGCGGATGGGCAGATCGTGGTTCGCTCGCTTCCGAGTCCCAGCAGCGGTTCGGGTGGGAGCTGCAGAGGAGCGCGGCTCGTGCCGCACCGCTCGTCCTGCGCACGGCTTTGCTCCGCGGCGCTGAGGCGGGCTGTGCGGGGCGGGGCGGAGGGGCCGCGCTGAGCAGAGTGCTCGGGGTCAGCGAGCTGCCGGGGCTGAGGGTTCCGCCACGTTTAAGGAGGATGTGAGCAGCCTCGCACCTCGCTAACCGTAAGGGACTTTGCTCACGGGGCTTTGGGTATTTCCATTAAAAAGGAGCGCCAGGTGCGGGAATCATTGCGGTAAGTGTAAAATCCTGTCGACGACGTGTTGCGTAGCTACACTTCTATCGACCAACTCAAAGCACCGCTTCTCTCTGCTGAGCCCGTCCGAAATAAACGCTTCCAGACCTCCCGTGTTCCCCCCGCGTGCCCACGCAGTGCCGTGCCCACGCGCCCGGAGCAGCGCAGTTCCGCGCATCGCAATGCGCTGCGTTCCCGGGGCGCCGCTGCTGCGTTTGCACGGAGCGGTGCGCGCGGGAGGTGCGAGCTGGCAAACTGATCGCGGGGCGGTGCTGAGCTACGGAGTTACAGAGAGGTTTCTAAGGTAACGCTTCAGCTTGCTTGCGTGGGATGCACGCTGGTTTTGGTGTTGCTGTTAAATTCTTTGCTGTTAGTTATTTCACTGCAAGGGTTCGGTCTCGCAGTTTGCATCTAAATGCTTTAATAAATGAAAACCAAAAGGGCCCGTTCTCTAATTTGCTTCTCAGCTCTACAGGAGCAAGCTGGCTTTCTTCACAGTCCTTCTCTTTCCCTTTCTGCTGAGAAGTGTTTCAATCCTGTTGTAATCTTTATATATGTGTAAAAGCACACACGTGTCAACTGTCCCATCTAGTCCAAGCTGATTAAACTTCCAGGAAAAATAGGCTTTTTTTGTTTGTTTGTACATTAATGCTGCCCATCCAGGGCCTGAATTCAGCTATTATTTCACAGTTTATCCCAAACATACTTGGGAATTAGGATAAGTCCTTATTGTTGATAAGTTTGGGGTATTCTGAAAGGGAAATGAAAGGAGCCCTCAAAATACCTGAGAACAAATGGTGTGGAAGCAGGAGGGGTTATATAGAAACAAATGAACCCTTTCTCTTAAGGGATCATTGTCCACCTGCAGTAATACAAACTGGTATTTTTTATGCTCCTTAACTATTGATGTTATCTTGGGGCTCCTTGGCACTAAGCTAGGTTCTCCTTCAGTCCCTGAGTTGTTATGTTTCCACCAATAAGTCATAGAACTACAAAATGTTTTGGGTTGGAAGAAACCTTAATTACAATTCCCCACTGTGGGCTGGTTGCCACCTGCTGCCCAGGGACCCATCCGACCTGGCCTCAAGCACTTCCAAGGGTGGGGAAATGCACACTGAAAGTAGAGGAAGTGTGTTCTTACTGGCCATTAGCACTGCCAGGGATTCCATGGAGATGTCCTAATAAAAAAAAAAATAAAGCTTTTAATTCACCCCACCCCAAACATGAGTGAGGTTAACCCAACCTCTCCTGGAGAGCAGGATTAAAATGCGAGGGAAGTGGTTGGACCCAGGGGCCGGTTGGGTTTATGCTTCTCCTGGCAGTGTCTCTTGCCTGGAGAATTAAATCTTGAATGAAAATTTGTGTTTTGCGATATTTGTGTGCTGCTAAATGCTGTCTTTCCATAGCCTGGTAACTGGCTTTAGCTTTGTAATTACGTGATATGCTCCTTTTATATGGTAAGCTGTTCTTTCTCTTAAATTTCCATGGGTATAACCAGTTTTGATTTATGCTGTTGTAGGGAGCGTTTCAGTTCCAAGGATGTGTGTGGTAGGGATTTCTTTAGAGTGCAGTGCCGTTATACAGCATTTTCCACTTTGTAAATCACCCCATTGGATTGAGTAAAATGGAATGTCCAGTTAAAATGAAACTCTATGTGGTCATCCAAGCCCAGGAGGGCTCCTTCCCATAGGAGAAGGATGCAAAGTCATTACTCGGAAGAGGATCTGAAAACAAGCTGGGGAATCATAGCCAGAAGTGATCTGTGCAGCTGTGTTAAGCTCCATGTGGTGGTGGGTTGATGGTTGACGGACTTGGTGAGCTTAGAGGTCACTTCCACTTTCTTAATTATTCCACAATTATTGTGTTGGGGATGGGTCGTAGAGCACATGCTACCTTTGGGGATGTTGCATGCCATCAAATTCTCTAGTTTTTCCCACAGCAAATATTATGATGTGTAGAAACAGAACTGTTAGAGGTGATGTTATTCGTTAACAGGAGACACCTTAAAATTCAGTTTTTATTCATCACTTTATAGTTATTTTTATTGTCTTCGCGTTGTTGGTCAGAGCTCTGTTCAGCTTCCAGTGAGCTTCTGGTTCCCATGTTAAACAAAAGCAAATGTAGTTGTGTTGGTGGGAGACTAATTTTTTCTTAAACTTGGCAAGAAAGCTGCAGTGCTGTTAGACTGTTATCTTGATTAGTTCATCTGTAACACGTGGCTGGTTTCAAGACTTACCTTGTCAGAAATGCTTGAAGTAAGTTTCAGTGTGATGTATACCAAGTTCTAGGAATTACATCTATATACTTCCTCTTGCCACTGTTTGCATATTAGGGCCCTGTGACATTGCCATAAGAAAAATGGGATGCTCAGTTAGTCTGGAGTATTATTTTCCTTTACTTGAAAAGGAATACATTGATGGCCCAGTTCACAATTACCTTGTGTAGCTGTTTATGCTAATTCGCATTGCTGAGAAACCAAAACCAGCTTCAGAGAATTTATTCCACAGACATTACTGTTATATTTGTACAGCTCCCAGTGCAGCTGGGACCCCAATCCAATAAAGTTATTGCTATACAAATAATAAATGCATCAATATGCACATATCTGAATATTCACAAGGCTTTTACAAAGATATTCATGTGTGATTTCACATTTGCGAGACGTTAGACAAAGTGACAAGGCAATATAAAGCTTTAAATAACCCAGAGCTTTGCATGTGTTTTATTTACAAGGAGTAGCAGGGAACACAGAAGCTTGGCTAGATTTTGATGAAAAGTTATGTTTCCTGCATCATCTTCATTTTTACTGGCTGGAAGAGATAATTTATCTGAGATGAAATATGTTGCTTCAACATATTAATACCAAGGGGCAAAAAAAAGTATTCTCAGAATACTTAAGAGATTTTAGGATCAGTGATGAAAAATATTACCCAGACCATGAAGTGCATCAACTTCATCTGTTCAGAGTTTGTTCAAATATTTCACTGTTTTCTTGTTTTTAGTTATTCTGCCTTTTAAGATATAAAAACATTATATTTTCCAATTGACAGACTAAATAGATTCCTTTAGGAGTTGTATTTGGGCAAATTAAAGTTAATGAAACAGCTTAGATACAGTTAAATAAGCTTGTTGTCGTGTCATATTTCTGCTTAGGTAGATGGTGTGCAGGTTTTTTTGCAGAATCAGCAGCCAATATGCCAGCAGCAATTTTGGTGGTAATCACATTATTGGCCCATCTCATTATTAATGGGACAATAATTAAGAAATAGTGTTGTTAGTAAAATAACACACGATTTGTGTATTGGAAATGGTCAGGTAGAAACCTTGCATATGCAGAATAAAATATAAGAAAGAACGAGTGGCAAATGTTCCTCACTTTTAAATTCATCACGTTCCTGCTGCTTAAATTGCCTCAGCTGCTAATGCTGGAACCATTACAGTAATGGACTTGGCAAATGAAGGAGAACCAAGACATACACACTTTATTACTGGAGGGGTAATTTTCTCTTCATCTGTAATAGCAGCAGTGCCTAGTATTGATCGGACCATCAAGATACTAATCCTCTGTAAAATTACTTGTTATAACTGAAAATGTGTAAATCCAAATCAGTCTGTGTCCTGACTTTCTACTTACTCTGGAATCCAGAGTGTTAGATGGTTTATTTTTTGTGATTTAAGGCCTTTATATAGATGATAGTAGGAGCTTCCTTTGCAAGAGTGAGTGCTTAATCTTAGCAATGGCCCAGGGTTGTCTTTTTGTTTTAACTAGAACATCACCCACTTAATTAAGGAGTGCGTGTCTATCTTGCTTCTCTGAATTATGTTGGTACTTAAACTTCCCAGATTTATTAAAGATGTTGTTTTACATTCCGTCTCTTGTTTTTTGCTGTAAATAAGAACAGATCTATGTTTTATGTCTTGTAAGATCTTGGAGCTGAGGATGCAAGAAGAGTGGATACTGAAAACATGAATTTGTGTTTTGTTGACTGTAGCCTGTAAGGCCACTGCATGTAAGAGGAACGTCACAGTAATCAAATGCCAGAGGTCTAAGAGGCTTCAGTTTACTTTGATCCCAGTGGTAGTGACAAAAGCTAGTGAATGGGAGCTTTTTTTAACATCTGCTGTATTTGGATATGGCCTCTTGGGCTGGTTATTCAATTTTTTTTTAATTTTTCACGTACATCATCTTTTTTCTCTGCTCATTCATAGACTTGTGTGTTAAGATTATAAGCACATCTGATACTTGTTATAGCCTTTAACCAAGTGAAGTTTTGATTTTTGGCTCAGTTGTGTGCCACAAGTATAATCACAGGTTCAGGTGCACCATGTAACAGCTGAACAGGTGAGCCTCATGGGGCATGGTTCCATTAACCCTGACCTTTCATCAGACTTAGTAAAATGGACTCCTGCCACATCAACGCTATGGTAGGTTAGGGAGTCCATGCTGGAGGTTGTGGAATCGGGGTGATGTGCAGAACTGGATGATGATTTTGAAGAAATAGGTACTGTTCCTTGCATTTTAGGAATTTTTGTTTTATAGCATCAAGTAGATAAAAAACATGTTGGTTTTGCCAGAGCATTTTTCTGCTTATTCCTTCTC